CCAGCCCAAGGTCCAAGGAATCCAAGAATAATTAGAGCACATATGGAGCAATTATCGAGATACTCATTCTCGAAAATCAAGATAACCTCTTATAGGACTTACCTTTTGTAGCTACCCAAAAAATTAGTAAATTTGCCCTCGCGTCACTGCCTTAACCAAGGTTCCGTGTCTATAAATTGTAAGATCTCTCTACATACGAGAACACCTCTTGATCTATCTCTATATCTCTTTACACACCCTACACATAGCTTTTCTCTCTCCTAGCTATTGTATCCCTCCCTGAGCTAACCATTGTTCTCTCTCTCGTTCACCTTACTATATCAATAAAGTTTCCCTGGCCACCATTGTTGTTTCCCATAATGGAGTAGGTCACCCAGACCGAACCAGTACATATCTGTGTGTTGACCCGATAATTTCATTATTGTCGTTGATTGTTCTATTAACTGTTCATTAATTACACTTTATCACACACTAGATTGTTGACCTTGCATAAGCCTATGTTGTGCATCATCAGTTTGGCATCGTATGTGAGAAACGACTAAGTTTTCTACTACCCTGCTACTTTCTATGGCGATCACGACCAGGTCGATGAGTCAACAACCAGAGGATAACAACCCAGCCCGCCAGGAGGAGGCTCCACCTTTTCTTGCACTAGCAAAACCATCTACTACAGCAACCCCCATGGTCAGGCAACAGCTCATGGAGACCATGCAGTTGTTGGTAAGCCAAAACCAACAAATCATCTAGCTAATGCTCGCCCCGGGAGGCGCTGCCCCTCAACCTATGGGAGCAGTACTCCTTCTAATTGGAGAGGAGCCATAACCTCACCACTCTGGGTGACAAGCGCCAACCGTGGGACCCTATGTCAGAGAGCTCCTACGCAGTGCCAGGGAGCCCCTTGCCCAAGAGTCCCTCCTCAACGCACAAGAAACTCACATGTTCCCCTTCCTTATACCTACGCCAGAGGATAAGGAAGAAAGCCAATATACTGATCATGAAAGCCACTACAATGACCCAAAGGAGAACATTCATAACCAACAGGACGAAAAGATCAGGGAGGTGTAAAACCAGCTCGGTGATGCCCTCAATGCCATCAAACACAGGCGCTAGAGATGGTGGATTACTTGGTAAGGTGCACTAATACCCCATTTGTTGCAGATGTTGTCAACTACCCTTTATCCTCAAAGTTCAAGATGTTTACATCAAGATCTTTGATGGCACCAAAGATACCCTCGACCATCTCGGCATATACAAATCTCTTATGCAACTCCACAACGTACCTAATGAGATTATGTATGGAGCCTTTCCTACCACCCTTAACGCATCCGCATACTAGTGGTTTGTCAAGCTCAATCCTTCTTTTATCCACTCCTTTGCGGAGTTAAGCAAGTCTTTCATCTCCCATTTCATTGGGGGACGACAACACTAGAAGCTAGTTACCCATCTGCTCATCACCAAGCAGGATCGGGATGAAAGCCTGAGGAGCTACCTCACTCATTTTAATGAGGAGACTCTCCATATCGACGAGCTAGATGACAAGGTGACCATGGCCACCTTTATCGCAAGTCTGTGCTCCTCTATTTTTATATTCTCTATCCTAAAAAAACCACCATCTTGCATGCTTGAGTTGTTGTCAAGGGCACAAAAGTACATGAACACCAAGGATGTCACCAAGGCCAAATGAGGTGAGTCCTCCCACGGGGGCGAGAAGAGGAAGGACACACGTGAGGACAAGTGGGAGGTAGAGAACAAAAGGACTAGGATAGAGAAAGTCTTTGTCAAGGACCACCTTGGTCCCCACCTCTGAGAGAGCAGCAAACCTTTACACCACTCAATGCTTCCGTGGAGCATATCTTATTCCAAATAAAAGATGATCCTGCAGTACGCTGGCCAAAGAAAATGAAGATTGCCCTAAACCGTAGGAACCCAAACAAGTCCTATCGCTTCCATCGCGACCACAACCATGATATTGATGACTGCTTTGATCTTAAAGATAGATCGATGAGCTCATATAGCATGGCCATTTGTGGCAGTACATTTCTAGTAGAGGACAAAACTCGCCGCCTTATAGGAACCAAAATGACAGAGAACGTCATTAGTCCCTTTGAGAAATCCAGATGATCTTTGGAGGGTTTGGACGAGGAGGTAACTCCAACTGACGAGTAATTATCAATAGCGGGTATAAGTTGGTGGCTCTTATTTTATTTGTCCATTATTGTTTCAGTTGATCTTTTACGTTATTTATGAAATAAAACTCTGCGAAGAGTATTGTGTCCAAAACTGTCTTACTTTCATAAAGTTTGTAAATAGTTTACAAATTCAAAACATGACCTAACAATAAGGTAGACCAAAAGATGAAATTCATCATACTCCAGATGGTCAGCCCCAAGCCACTATCATCAAGGCTCTCCCCGTCACCATCTACCCTTGGTGCCTTATATGGGACAAAGCCAAAAAAAGCAATGGCAGGGAAAGTTGTCAAGCTCTTCATAACCATTAATAAAGGTACCTGCAATGGCCCTCTTAGTAGCCTCCCTCCTCATCTCCATCTCAATGGAATGAGCCTAAGCTAAGGCAACCCTCTCTCGAGCTATACGTAGCTCAACCTCAACTCTTGCAACCCTCTCACTGGATATTCGCAGCTATGACTCTGCTCTCGTGCCAGTAGTCTCCTTATAAGCCTCTGCCATAGTAGCCATCTCCTGAGCTATACGTAGCTCAACCTCAGCTCCTGCAGCTCTCTCACGAGATGTTCGTAGCTATGACTCTACTCTCGCATGTAGTCTCCTTATAAGCCTCTACCACAGTAGCCATCTTATAAGCTATACATAGCTCAGCCTTAGCCCCTGCAGCCCTCTTATGAGATGTTCACAGCTATGACTCTGATCTCATACAAGTAGTCCCCTTATAAGACTCTGTCATGGTAGCCATCTATCGAGCTATACATAGTTCAGACTCAGCTCATGCAGCCCTCTCACAGGACGTTCGCAACTCTGACTATGCTCTCGAACAGGTAGTCTCCTTATAAGTCTATGCCACAGCAACCCTTGCTTGATGTTTTTCGTTGTTATCCCTAACCCCTAAATATCATCCCTCAAAATGTATTTTATATGGATGAAGGGGAATGTCACTCTCCCTTTAAGTAGTATCAAAAGAAAGGGCAAGGAGTTGGGAAAATGGGATGGTGGAAATGTGTTATGTGTATAAACAAAAATACTCCCCAAACCCAAAGAGATTTTTGTGGATCGTGTTTACTTGGAGGTACTCCAAGGTCGTTTCCACGAGGACGGATGTGAACCAAAGGGAAGGTGGTTTTGGGTGAAAGAAAGTGTAAAATCTTTTGTTGTTGAAAGTTGTTTGGTGAAGTGTGTTTTTGGTGAAAATGAAATGAGAAACAAACGTTGGCTAATCCAAGAGGTCACTCTAATAGGGATACCATCTCAACTTGAATCCCTCCTCCAATAAAGTATAAATGTACGATTGATTCATGGGAGGTTAGGGATAAGATGGGTGAGTATCTAAGCATAAACCATGACTAGGCCTACGGAATGTCAAAAACTCACCAACTTATCCACCCTCAACCCAGTCAAACCGAATCATTGAAATCTACAAGAAGGAAGGAGAATGAGTTGAAATGGCATCCCCAAGTGGAGGTTCCCCTTGGTTTTGCCAACTAAAGGATTTAGCTACTCATTGCTTGGGACGAAATTAACAATGAAATGAGAATGCATAGCAAAGGAATGAAGTTCTTGAGTAACTAAATGCAAGCAAACATAAACTATAAGTGAAAGCAATGAATACCCATTTTATAGCTAGTAAGAATGAAGAACATAAATGCATTAATGGTGAAAGCTTTAAAAGGGAATTAAACTTGCAATGAACTTGTAGGAACTGGCATTAATGACATTCAATGAAGCTCTAAAGATTCTTACAAGAGATTACAAGACAATGTATTGAAGAAAATGTAAAAATCTCAATTTATCTCTCTAGAATACTATTCATCATCTTTTACCCAGACTCTCTCTCTATATATTTTGTGTAATGTCTGGAATGCTGAATAATGGAGTCATTTCCCCCCAAAATTGTCCATAGTCTGCTCCCTCAGCTGAGTGATGTGATTTCCATCCATAGGCTATAGCCAGGAATGGGCTAGACAGGGAAGTACAGACCCTTGTCTGCACACACCGCAACTCTCTCTCCTTTCTCCTCATTGATCACCATGGCTCCAAAAAGAGGTGTGAAAATGATGCACAGTATTATGGGTGTGTCAGAGAAGTGTGGGAGATATAATGGTGGGACCCTCAAAGTAGCAGAGGATGATCTGCAGATTTGTGGGCAGATTCAGCAAAGCGTATCGGTACGCATACCAATACGATTTGCCTAATTTTCTGCTTTCTTGATTTTGTGATTTCCTGAGCCATCCTTTCATCCTCATTCACCTCAACTTATTTGGGAAGGCCTTAAGAAGCCTTATTTATCACATTTTTTCCTGCAAAGATCAAATATCTTCGTTAATAGCTCACGTAGTGCAATTCTAAACATTCAATCCCCAAAAGCAAGTGAAAAAGAGATGATTAGCACATGGTATATGCAATGTTTTTGTGCTAATCACACCCCCTAACTTGAGTTTTGCTAGTCCCCTAGCAAAATTTATGTCCCACAACAAGATAACAAGTATAACATAGAACATTCCATTTAAACAAGTTGTTCACCTAATCAATCAAAATATAAAAATCATAATGCAATTATCAAAATAAAATTGGACAAGATTGAACAAAAACTATGGTTTCTTCCATTAATGTGCTTTGAAGTTGGAGTACAAGGATTCAATCATCAAAAAGAACAAAATGGCCCAAAACCTACGGATTCTTCTACTAAGCCAATGAATCCATTCTAATTATATACACTCCAATACAAGCGAAAGAACAAAAACTACAGCAACCTATTCCTCATCTCCATCATCATCATCATCACTGGCATCATCCTTATCATAGTCGCTTTCACCCTCCACAGGGTGGTGGAAAATTTGGTGGCCTCTCATAATTCCCTAGAAATGTCACAATAACATCAGAGGTCACCACAAATATTTTACCCCGAACATTCGTTTTCAACACTTCCACCTCATTCACATCCGCCACCCTAAGAGTTTGATAGAACTCTCTACACATTGACAAATTAAAACCATCAACCGGTTCAAACCAGAATTTCATACCATGTGCCTCAATGATTCGAACAACTTCGTTCCTTGGGGTAAGGGAAATGTGATCAAGGTACCTTTCATAGGTCACATTTTTCTCTTGGATCAATTTCATCTGTGCCTCATGCCTTGCCTTCTTCCTTTGCTCACCTTGGTTCTCGCTTGGCCCTTTGGGTTGAGGGTTGTCGGATCCAGGCCTCTTAGTTCATACCATGCACAGCAACAATGCCCCCATTGCCAAAAAAGTGAAGAGAGTCAAGAGGAGACCTTCAATCAAGTCCATAGCATCTTGGGGAATCATTACAGGACGAGCCATGTGAGTTATTTTAGGAGAATTTGAGAATTAAAGGGAAGGCTTGAGAGATTTTTGGCACCTAGGGTTTCCAAGATTTGATTTTCCTAAATCACAGCACAAGGGAGAGTATTTGAAGGGTTGAAGGAAAATAAAGGGGATTCAGAAGTCTAAGGGAGAATTCGGGTGAGAGAGCAGTGGAAAAGGGGGGTGTAATTTAAGAGGGAAGTGAAAGGGATTCCCGAAAGAAATCGATTAAAAACCCTAACTTTTGGAATTCCAGGTAAAGCATACCAGTACACGTACCAGTACATTGCACTCCAGAGGCCTCAGCGTACCGGTACGGTTTGCTTTAGTTGCAAAAAAATTCCTACTGGGCAACCCTTCCCACATCTTTTTCATTTTAAGACCTCCCCTATACATCTTAACACTCTCTTTCTGACCTTTACTCCACCCTAGACATGTACTCCACTTGTAAACCATAATTTGAGCCATCATGCCCAATTAATTACCGAAATTGCGATGTGATTTAAAATTTTGATGCATTCAATGTACAAGGAATGGATTTCTAACTTTAACTATCAAAATGAACACCCAAAATGCAAATCACACAATTAATAACATGGGCATTCCTAATTCATCCCAAATATCAAAAACTTGAGCAATATTCCCCTATTCTGCAGGTATGGAACTATTTAACACATTTCTCAGATGATTGAACTAAGCACACATAAGTAAAACCATAGTCTCAAATACTAGTCTAAAGTACGCACCTACAAATTCATTTTCAACTCGTGTGTGTGTGTGTGTGTGAATTAAACAAGTAATTTGAGCATTTACGCAACAGAATTCACATTCGAATAGCCTGCCAAATTCAGTTTCAATGCAAAACTCACCGGAGGTCACTCTTAAACAATGAAATGCACTCTAGTTCTCCTGGTATGCCCTCCATGTGTACATGTGAGATAGAATCTTGTGTTCAAAACAAAGTGTACTCACTTGCAATCCAAAAATGAAGTTCATATATGAAAAATAAAACAACCTTGGCATAATCTCATGAAAGGAATGATAGGGCATTAGACAGCTAAACCAACTTCTCATGTTCTTTAAAAGTATGCTTCCCCCATGCTTTCTCCAGATCATTTAGGACTTTCAAGGGTTGTAATGAGGTCTTGGGGTGGTAATGAGGTAAGTGAAATGAAGGATATAGGATGACAAAGAGGGTTGTTCATATTGAATGACCTTTATTTCAAAAAAATTCTCCCTTTTATGGGATTTCTAGGCTAACACCATCACCACACTCTTTGTTTCTTTTTTTTCTTTTCCTTGACATTTTTCTTTTCTTTTCTTTTCTTCTTCTCACCCATTTTCTTCCTTTTCTTAGATTTTCATTCTTTTCCATTGAACTCTTTGAGTTGTAACATCATTCATCCCTTTGTTTGAGTTTCCACACAACCCTTCCTTTACTTTTACAATCACTCATATTTAGCTTCAAGGAACAACCAAGGTAAGGTAGATATTTCTTATTTTCATTGGCTTGGTTAAACGTGTGGCATAGAAATGAATTTAAACTAGGCTTAATCACGGCACTAGGGATAATCTTTGCACAAGAAAAAGGGTTAAGGCTCAAAATATTTCAAAGATGGCCTAAAATTACTTCCAGGTATGCATGAGATGGCATTGTATAATCGAAACAAGTCAATCTACTATCTAGATGCACCTAACCAAAACAAGTATGATGAGACTATTGAACAATTTGGACATTGAAAAATTATTCTTTGAGTAAATGTAAGTTCCCTCCAAACAAGGATTGGCATTAAAGCTCACATGGGTTCTTACTCATCTCCACTACTTATGTCAAGCCTAAAACATGAATCCAATCCATAAATTGCTGAAATTACACATTCAAAGGTCACACACAGTTGAGTTCAAAAATCAAACATATGTGATACTCATGCATAGGGTCAGTTTCCATGGTATGCTCACGTGCTCAAAGTTCACAACAAAGATAAATATGTCATCCAATCCACACACTCTTCATAAGGGAATACATATCAACTTTTAGATATTTTCCATCAAAAATTTTCAAAATTTTCACATATTTTTCACTAATGCAAGCAAAAAATTGTATCACAAAAAAAAATTCCAAACAACATTGGTGTATCATGCAAATGGTGCACCTCACCCCCCAACTTGAATCATACATTGTCCTCAATGCAACAAAAAGATACTATATGCAATGAAGGACAGTAAAAAGATGAATAGGGTTAGAGAACACCTCGCGATTGAGCTTCAACAAAAGCACCAATATCTGAAACAATGTAAACAAATCTATACAACCAAAGAAAGTAAGTGACAAAATAAAAGTAATATAAGGAAATAAAAGCAACAGTATAATAGAAAACATAACACTAGCTACTCCCCGACCAAGTCCAGATATACCGGATCCGTCAAATCCTCCGCCACCTCTTTCCCTTCAAAACCCTCGAAAAATGGCTTAAATCTTTGGCCATCCTTGAAGTTTGTGATCTCAACAGATCCATTGGGGTAGGCCACCTTGACAAGATAGGGGCCATCCCAACAGGATCAAAGTTTTCCCTGGAAAATTGAGAGGCGAGAATTGTACAAGAGCACTTTTTGACCAGGCTAGAATGATTTCCATGCAATGGAATTTATCATGAAAGATCTTAGCCCGTTCCTTTGAAATTTTGGACCTCTCATACGCATCTCGTCGAATTTCTTCCAACTCATTCATTTCCAACTTCCTATGTTCACCAGTCATTCTCAAGTTGAAATTTAAAGTTTTAATGGCCCAATAGGCCTTGTGTTCCATTTCAACTGATAGGTGGCAAGCCTTTCCATAGACAAGCCGATAGGGAGACATGTCCTAAATAGTTTTAAAGGCAGTGCGGTATGCCCATAGGGCATCGGTCAATCTTTCGGATCAATCCTTCCTGTTTGGGTTAACCATTTTTTCTAGAATGTTCTTGATCTCCATGTTGGCTAGCTCGGCTTGGCCATTTGTTTGTGGGTGATAGGCAGTGGATACTTTGTGAGTGACGTCATATTTGAACATTAGAGATGCAAATGGCCTATTACAGAAATGTGATCCACCATCACTTATTATTGCATGAGGCATCCCAAATCTCGAAAAGATGTTCTCCTTGAGAAACTTGACTACGAGCCGGTGGTCATTAGCCTTGGTTGGGATAGCCTCCACCCATTTGGAAATATAGTCCACTGCCAGGAGGATGTACAAATAACCAAATGACATAGGGAAAGGACCCATGAAGTTGATGCCCCAACAGTAGAATATTTCTATGACAAGTATTAGTGAAAGGGGCATCATGTTTCTTTGGGTCACACTACCCAACCATTGGCATCTATCGCATCCTTTACAAAATGAAACACAATCTTTGATAAAGAGAGGGCCAGTAAAAACCTGATTAAAGAATTTTGGCCGAAGTCTTTTTCGCCGAGAAATGTCCACCGCAAGCTTGTGAATGGCAAAATGCAAGGATGTCCCGCTATTCATTTTCAGGTACGTATCTTAAACAAATATGGGTTGTCGACGTAGAAGTACTTCACATCCGCCATAAATCATCTTCGATCTTCTGGGCTCCATTGATGTGGTATCTGTCCTTTTGCAAGATAGTTACATATATTAGCATACCAAGGACATACAAAATGAATTGAAAACAAATGTTCGTCAGGGAAAAAGTCAAGAATAGGAATGTGTTCATCGGCCTCTTGTACCACAAGTCGGGATAAATGATCCGCCACCACGTTCTCAACTTTTTTCTTGTCCTTAATCATCAAGTCAAATTCTTGTAGGAGGAGTATCCACCTAATGAGTCTTGGTTTTGCATCCTGCTTAGACAACAAATACTTCAAAGTAAAGTGATCAGTAAAGACAATAATAGGCGAACCAATGATGTAAGAATGAGATTTATCTAAGGCAAACATTACTGCTAGTAACTCTTTCTCGGTGGTAGTGTAATTCATTTGAGCCTCACTAAGTGTTTTACTAGCATAGTGTATCACATATAGTCTATTTTCCTCCCTCTGATCGAGCACTGCGCCGACCGCGTAATCACTCGCGTCACACATGAGCTCAAAAAGTAGATCACAATTAGGTGGTCGCATGATCGGAGGTGTAACTAGAATGCCTTTAAGTTTTTTAAAGGATGTCTCACAATCATCTGACCACTCAAATGGGACCTCTTCAGATAGTAGGTTGGTCAAGGGTCGAGCCAATGTACTGAAATTCTTTATGAATTGACGATAAAATCCTGCATGGCCCAAAAACGACCAAATGCCCTTGATGGCTCCTGTGTGGGGAGGTTGGAGATGGCCTCCACCTTGGATTTATCAACTTCAATACCCCTTGTCAAAACTATATGGCCAAGCACAATTCCTTCTGTCACCATAAAGTGACACTTTTCCAATTCAAGACTAGATTCTTCTCCTCACATCTTGTTAGAACTCTCTCCAAGTTTGCCAAACATCCCTCGAATGAATCCCCAAACACTGAAAATTCATCCATAAAGACCTCCACTATCTTTTCCACCATGTCACTGAAAATCCCCATCATATAGCGTTAAAACGTCCCCGGAGCATTGCATAGTCCAAATGGCATGCGATGCGATAGTAGGCAAAGGTACCATAGGGGCACGTAAAGGTGGTCTTCTATTGATCCTCCAAAGCAATCTCGATCTAATTGTAGCTAGAGTATCCATCTAAAAAGTAGTAGAATAGATGTCCCGCTACTCATTCTAGAACTTGATCGAGGAATGGCAATGGGAAGTGGTCTTTTCTTGTTCAAGCGTTCAGCTTTCGAAAATCAATGCACACCCTCCATCCGGTGATCACTCTTGTAGGTATAAGCTCATTCTCATCATTCTCAA